CCGAACATCAATCTGGCTTTAGAAAGGGATACAGTTGCGAAACGGCATTACTTAAAGTTACTGACGACATTTTGTCTGCTGTCAACGAGTCCAAATTTGTAGTCTTAATATTATTGGATTTCTCGAAAGCGTTTGATACGATTGATCATGATATTTTATTAGCAATACTACATTATATTGGCTTTGACCCGAATTCTATTACACTTCTCCTTCATTATTTAAAAAACAGGAGCCAATTAGTTGACATTAATGGGAAGACTTCAACAATGATTAATTTGCGATATGGCGTTCCCCAGGGTTCTATTTTAGGGCCTCTGCTTTTTTCAATATATACTGCTAATATTATAAACAAATTAAAATATTGCAATTACCACCTGTATGCTGATGATACGCAGTTATATTATGCATTTTCTAAAACTGAAGTTGAGAAGGCAAATGGTGAAATAAACGAAGATTTAAATACCTTCCTAAATTACGCTGAACAACATTCATTACATATTAACCCCAGTAAATGTAAGTTGCTATTAATTATTTGGTGCATCACACAACACAGCTACTCGTGCCGAAGTTTCCTCACTCTTAGATATAAGAATCGGAAATAAAAAATTAGAGTTGGTTCAGGAAGCCAAAAATCTCGGGCAAAGCTTAAACGCGAATTTCAATTATCAAACGCATATCAAAAATTGTTCACAACGGGCGTTTGCTGGCCTTAGATATATACATCGAATTAAAGGTTTACTTTCTCGCAATTCAAAAATTATGCTCTGTCGATCCCTCGTGCTATCCCATTTTTCATTTTGTAGCGCAGTGTATGGCCCCTGTCTTTCTAAATTTCTTGAAAGAAGAATACAGATTATTCAAAATTCATGTGTTCGTTTAATTTATGGAATTAGGAGGTTTGAAATGGTTTCTCACAAGTTAAAGTGTATACCATGGCTAAACATGGAAAAAAGTCGACTTCTCTACTCTGCCACTGCATTTCACAAAATTATCTTGGTTAAATCACCACCTTATTTATATAATAAATTTACATTTCGAACAGATGTTCATAATATTAATGTTCGTCGGAAACATTTGATTACCATTCCTAACCATAACTTAGAACTATTTAAAAAGTCATTTTCATATAATATAGCCAAGATCTATAACTCACTTTCGTCGAACGTTAAACAATTAATACCATCTAAATTTAAACAAAAAGTTTACCACGATCTTTTATCTTATAGTTACAAATCTACTTTCAAGTTACTCTGTTTCTATTGCATATTTTTTTTTTCTTGTTAATTTAGACCATCAAAATTTTTTATTAATTTTAGTTTGCTATTAAACGGGTTAAGTGGAAGAGCACAAAGGGCTGCATGCCTCTTAGTGAACTTCGCCTTTTGGACGCCAAGTTGAATGTATAATATTGGTATTGTTTATATATTTGTCACAGTGTGTCCAAATAAAGTCATTATTATTATTATTATTATTATTGTCGGTGTTTCTTGTGAGAACTCAGGTCTAGCCTGGTTAACTAATCGCACGGATTAAAATCAAGTAACGATTAGTGTCTGTGTCTGTGTCTGGTGAAGTTATGTAGGGTTCTAAAGAAAAATAAAAAATAAAAAATAAAATAAATATTCACACACTCACATTGGAAATCTAGAGATAGTATGTAATTCATACTTACCAACATAGCTATTAATGGCCACAATAGTCAACGCTATCAGGAAAGAAGAAAACAAAACAAAAATATCATTATAATAATTCCTGTAATTTTATTAAATAGAGTTTATTGTGTAAGTGTTTCTTTGGCTTTGCGTTTGGGTTGAATACGAGTGGGTTGTGATAAAGTGGTGTGTTTATGTGAAGAAGGAGTTTTGTGTTTTTTAATTGTATTTATGGTGTTTCTTTGTTCCTGAGGTCGTATTTGTGAGGTTGTTTGGGTTTCTGGTGGAGATATTGCAGTATTTTGTGAGCCTGTGGTGCTGTTAAGGTTTTTGCGCTTCGGTTGTATACGAGTGGGTTGTGACAATGTGGTGTGTTTCTGTGAAGAAGGAGTTATGTGTTTTTTAAGTGTGCTAGGGCGTGTAACTTTATTGGGTGGACCTGTCTTTGTAGTGCAAGTTGCGTTACTTGTATTTGTGGTGTTTCTTTGTTCTTGAGGTTGTATTTGTGTGGTTGCTTGGGTTTTTGGTGGAGATATTGCAGTATTTTGTGAGCTAGTAGTGCTGTCAAGGTTTTTGCGTTTGGGTTGTATACGAGTGGGTTGTTTCTGAGAAGAAGGAGTATTGCGTTTTTTAACTGTGCTAGGACGTGTAACTTTATTGGGTGGACCTGTCTTTGTAGTGTAGTGTTATTATTATTATTATTATTATTATTATTATAATTTTTAGTTACTGATACATACTAGCCACGTTCTCAATCAAAAGTTATACAGGGTGGTGACTTGCGTAACGCATCATTTCAATGTAAAATTTGTAACAAGCGATTATTGGCTCCCCAAATTATTTTAGAGCAAAATTGTATTAAGGTTTTATGTAGAAACAAATTTTTTACGTCAGTCAACCGTATTAGTTTTCAATTTTTTGCATAATCAAGACGGAAAATTGGAAAAATAAAACCCGCATCTTTTTCAATAATCTGCGATGCCATGGAATTTTCTAAAACAAATAGATGTCCAGTTATCAATTGGCAGCAGTTCGAAATGGATTTTATGATCGACTTGGTTACTGTATTGCAGTTAATGGTGACATATTCGAACATTTATTGTAAATTGTTATATTAGGAAACCGTTTTTAGTAATTTGGCCTGTCTTTATGTTGATAGAATTTGATTTGTTTTATAGCAGACATTCCATGGCATGACGGATATTAGCGTTCTTTTTGTATTATAAAATTCCATGGCATCACAGATTATTGCAAAAGATATTTTTCTATTTTTCCAATTTTCCGTCTTTATTATGCAAAAAATTGAAAACTAATACGGTTGAATGACGTAAAAAAATTTTCCTACAAAAAACCTTAATATATTTTTGCTCTAAAATAATTTGGGGAGCCAATAATCGCATGTTATGAATTTTACATTGAAATCGCTATGATGCGTTACGCAAGTCACCACCCTGTAGACTAGAAACCAATTTCGAAATAAAATTCAAAGGGCTGTAACTTTTGAACTAGTAGCCCAATCTTGGAACTGTTTGAAATTATGGATTCTACTGGCCACATTCTATAAGAAAAAAATTTTTCCGGGTCGATCTGAGAAAATTTTTTTTTCGGGCCTCAAAAAAAGGCAGTGTATAACCTTCCTTTTTTACCAAAAATCGACTGCACCAAAATTTCTCGGGAAACACTTTTTCTTATTAATTTTGGTGCGTAGAATCCAAACCAATTCGTACTTTTTCGATCAGACTTCTCAATCAAAAGTTATAGACTAGAAACCAATTTCGAAAGAAAATTCAAAGGGCTGTAACTTTTGAACTAATATCCCAGTCTTGGAACTGATTCAAATTATGGATTCTACAGGCCACATTCTATAAGAAATTTTTTTTTCCGGGTCGATCTGAGACAATTTTTTTTCTTGCCTTAAAAAAAAAGGCAGTGAAAACACTTTTTCTTATTAATTTTGTTGCGTAGAATCCAAAACAATTCGTACTTTTGCGATCAGACTTCTCATAACCCCCTGAACGTTCGCAATTCTGGAAAATTCGACTACTGATGGATGTTTCTTTCCCGTTACAGCGCACTAGTATGGAAAATTCTGAATTGTTACTTAACGTCGTTAGTGAACAAAAGGGGATTGAACTTTGCTTGTGCAATTCGTAACCGTAAGGAGGTTGTAGCCTTTGGTAGTTGAATAAACAGTACTAAAAAATTAACGGGTAGAATGTGGTACTTGTGAAAGGTTTTTCGTTTTAAGCAGTTTAACGAATTTCATTCAGAGATCAAAAGCTCCCTGACCGTTTCTACGACGGAAAGGGGTGCGACGGGAAATTCCAGTTTAGTATAATTATCGTAAATATAGAAACTTTGGGGACGATTTAGGTTTCCGTAAAATTTGTGGTAGGAGGTAGACGTTAGTCAATTAGTTACTTTGCTAAAGAATTTTCCAGTTCACTTAGAAACTCAAAATTTTACTTTAAAAAATTATAAATTTTCGAGGCGTGTAGGCAAGTTTGTCCTTTAATGGGTGGGAGTAAGGCAATAATAGTGATATTACGAACATATTGGAAACATAACGAATACGATCAATTACCTTATACTCCTCTTCATAACCGTAACACGGCGGATTACGAGGATAAACAGAAATCTGAAAGGGCCGTAACAATAAGTAATAGGAAACTATCTATAAAAGCGAACTCGTCTGTTATATCCAATCTGTAAATTAATGACCTTTGTCTGTTTCTGTATCTGCTTTCCATAAATTTCTGTAAAGGATCAATAATTTCTAGCTCCATTAAACATAACACCCTTAGCCATCGCAACTTCCAAACGTAGGGTACGATATATTTTCCACGAAAAGAAAACTAAAGAAAAATCATCGCTACGATAAGTTCTCGTGAAAGAAAATACGTTTTTTTTTCTCTTCCTTTGTGCAAATCGGGATTTATGTTGGAAATTAAAGCGTAGACCTTTAAATAAATAAAATGCTATATTGAGAGTAATTTACTGAAAAAATTAGGTAAGATATTGCAACGGTGTGGTTCGCATTAGAGGTGAATGAAAGCGTGACGTGGCCCTTGTGGGCAGTAAATAAGGGAAAACCAACGAATGCCCCGCTGGGTGATCCTGAAAGTAGACGTCGGGCTATAAATTAAACGGCTCATGTTCCTCAAACCCTGTTGCGAATAACGAAACCTCAACGGAATACGAAGTCACAGGATTTACCGATTTTTAGGTCATTCATGTGCCCCTTTCTTTCAATCTAATTTATCGAATGCGTCGTTCTTATTAATTTGCAGGCGGCGCGTGTCTGTAAATTTACGCGCGACAGGTGTCAACGTCGACATTTGTGTTAACATGGCGGAATCGCTCAAAAATCTCGTTGAATCGGTTGGTAATTTGTTTACCGAGGCGGGGAAGAATGTAACCGAGTACGTCCAAGAGGGGATTAAGAGCATTGAGAAGATTACCGCGGAGGGACAGAAGTTGCACGATGCCATTATGCAATCCGTGTCAGGATTGCAGCAAGGCTTTCGAGCGATCATGGAGGAAGCCGAACGGTTGATCGAGCAAAATCGAACAAACCTTGTGTCCGCAATTGACCGTACCAAAAGCACCGCCAATGCTGCCCTTGATGAGGTTGACCCCGGTAAAGCACAAGCGCATTTCCAAAACGCCAAGGATAGCTTGGGTCCGCTACTGGCAGAAATTAAGGGCCAAGCCGAAAAAGATGCCGAGAAAATTGGCGCAGAAGCATCTAAAGCTCTCCAGGACCTCAAACAGCTTCTACTTACCGCAATAGACTCGGCAAAGATACTTAAAGTTGCTTCCGAAAAAACGATGGCGGAATGTAGAGAGCGATTGGATAAGGAGATCGAAAAGCTGAAAGCTACGGCCGAGGACGTTGGGAGGCGCTACGCAAAGGATTTCTCCGATGCCATTGACACTATATCCAAGGAAATGACGAAGGCTATCGATCAAGTGAAATCAATCAAGGATAACGCAACCAAGGGAGCTGCGGATGCCAAGGAGGCGCTGGAGAAGGCGGCGGAGGATGTTAAAGGAAAAGCCGGCAATTCCATTGACGGCTTAAAGAAGGAATTGGGAAAGTCGATCGAAAATATAGAGAAGCAGTCGGAAAACGCGGTCGGCGAATTGGCGAAGGACGGCGATAAGGCAGTTACTCATGCTCAAGAAGCTGCCTAAATCATTGAAGTATTTGTACATTTGAAGGCGGCGAGATTTTTGGCGATTTTGTTATGAAATTTGAGAATACACCATGTTTGATACATTTGCTTTTATTTGTCCAAGCGCGAATTATGGTTGTAGAGAAAGGATCATTGAATTTTCCTTCCCCCCAAAACCGCCTCCCTGCCACCGGTTCTGTCTCCTCCTCCTCTTAACTGCTTGTGCTCATGTCTGATTCTGTCTCTCGCGTGAAGTTCCGGATTCCGTGTGTGACTCTGAATGCGTTGATTATTCTGTCTTTCACTGTGTTGTGCCTACTGAGTGTGCTACTTATGTACGCTCCCTTGTGCTTCATGGTTATCTCCCTCCCGGTTGTCATCTTTCCTCTTTCTTTGTATTGGGTGTTGCTTCCTGGATCTCTTATAATCATGTAGCTCTTTTCGTTCTTTATTTGTAGGCCTGCCATTTCCAGGTATGACTCGCTGGTTTGGACGAAGTCCTCGAGGTCTTCCATCTTGTCTGCGATTACGAGTAGGTTGTCCGCGTACGCTAATAATTTCGGTAGTTGTAATTGGTCATCTATGCTGAAGTTCTCCACCACCCTCCTTGTTTGCTCTATGACGTTACCCAGTGTTATTGGGGACAGCGGACATCCTCTGCTCTCTTAGGCACGCGTTTATAATTCTACAAGTTAGAAATTTGGGCAATCCCAGCAGCGCCAGAGAAGTGGCCATTGCTTCATGCTTCACTTGGTCGAATGCCTTCGCCAGATCCATTGCTAGAAGCCAGGATAGAAGCCATATTTTGGTTCCTTCCTTCAGCGTACGTCTAGAATCCTCCTGGTCGTGAATATATTATATGGTCGTCCGTTGATCTGCCTGTTATGAAGCCTGCTTGGTATACTGGTAGTAGGTAGGTTGCGTATACAGGGTCCATTATGAAAGTAATGAGCATTTTCTGGAAAAAATAGTTATATTGATCGTATCGGTATAAATGCTTAAAATTCCTCAAACTATCCCCCCCCCCCCCTGCATCAATAAACTTGCGGAGACATGTTTTCCACGCTTGGAAAGCATCCAAAAAGTCCTGGGCGGGAATGTCTTTTAGGAATCTTGTAACATTCTTTTGGATGTTTTCCATGGACTCCCAGTGCTTTCTTTTCAACTCTTCTTCAGTCGAGGAAACAAAAAATAGTCGCTCGGAGCCAAGTCGGGACTGTAAGGAGGTTGGGGAACCACCGGAATGCTGCTACGGGCCACGAAGTTAGTAACGATGAAGGCCGTGCGGCTGGGGGCATTGCCATGGTGGAGCTTAACCATGGTTACTATCCCATGTATCGATAATGTGGACATGTTTCCATGTTTCCATATGTGACATTTTGGATATTAACACGATTTCAGAGGATGAAGTCAGAGAGGCCATTAAAGAGCTCAAACCGAAGAAGGCTGCTGGACCGGATGGAATTCCGCCATACATTTTTAAGGGTTGCCAGGACGTACTTGTACCTCCATTAACGTTAATTTATAATCTGTGCATAAGGTCGAATAAATTTCCCGATATATGGAAAATCACAAAGGTGTGTCCATTTCATAAAACCGGATCTAAAGTACACATTATTAACTATCGACCAATCGCAATCCTATCTGGTCCGGCAAAAAATATTACACCGACGTATAATCATGTGAAGGGGAGCATTTCCGAGCGACAACACGGCTTTCAAAAAAACATGTCCACTGAATCAAATTTAATCGAATTCACACATAATGCTTCAAAGGCCTTAGATGACAAAACTCAATACGATACATTACACACTGACTTTTATAAAGCCTTTGATAGTGTGAACCATGACATTTTGCTCGAAAAGTTAGCTCGGTTTGGATTCTCGAATGGTCTATTAAAATTCTTTTCGTCTTATCTTTCTTCTCGAGAGCAGTTTGTGGTTTTTGGATCGACTACGTCTAAGGTGTTCAGTGTACCATCGGGGGTGCCACAAGGGTCAAACTTGGGACCATTGTTATTTATAATGTTAATTAATGACTTGACCGAAGTAATTAAGTATGCAAATGTTTTACTGTTTGCAGATGATTTGAAGCTGAGCTACCAAATAAAAGACTACTCGGATTGTCAAAAGCTACAAACTGATCTCGATTCCATAGTACAATGGAGTTCTAATAATTACTTACCCCTGAACATAGATAAATGTAAATGCCTACGTTTTTCTCGTAAGGCAGATGATATTATATTTCAGTACAACATTCAGGGAAGAGTATTAGAGGTTGTTAGCAATCACAAAGATCTGGGAGTGCTTTTTGATGCCAAATTGAAATTTGACCTACATATCCAGAATGTCATTAAAGCCGCTTGGGGTTTATCTTGCGATGTTCGCATTGTTTTAGAAATCAAAAAACGTTTAGTGTTCTATATTATGCATTAGTGCGATCTAAGCTGGAATATGCAGCTACCATTTGGTCACCATATACGAAAAAGCATATAAAGGCAATCGAAATGATTCAAAGTAAATTCTTACGCTCTCTTCACTTTAGACTTACGAGGGTATACCCCCACTACGAACATTATGAATATTTAATAAATGTGTATAATTTTACGAGACTAAGTGATCGAAGACGTAATATCTCATTAATATTTTTGTTTAAGCTTCTTAATAATCAGATAAACTGTTCCTATTTGCTGTCTCTAATCAATATCAATGTCCCCGATCATAGAACGAGAAGTAAATTCACAATGTTTGAAATCCCTAGAGTACGTTCAAAAACGCATGACAATTCACCAATTAACCGAATGATGACGTTGTACAATGATTTGCACAAAGTTCAAAAGAACAATTTGCACTTATTTGGCCTGTCTTTATCGCAGTTTAAGAAAAATTTAGTTTTATGTTTATAAAAATACTATTTATCAGATAGTTACTTGTACTTATACGTTTTTTTTTTTTTTAGTCACAATCATTGTCCTCAAAACTTTATATGGAATGTTTTTCTGTTGTTTTGAGCAAACACATAAATAAATAAATAAATAAATAAATGTTTAGGGTGTCAGGGATGGGCTGGATGCTTAATCGACGGTCGGGACGCAAAACTTCGCACACGATTAACGTTTTCGTCGGTTCTGGCCTTTGTTGGGCGTCCAGAACGGGGTTCACCTCCTTCCTGCCCTCCTTGAACGCCTTGTGCCACTTCCCGGACTGTGACCTTGAAATGAAGTCGCCATTGAAGCATCTGGAATGTCTCCGTTGCATTCTTTCCAAGCCGCAAGCAAAAACTTGATGGCGTATCGCTGTCCAAGCGACCCTTCCTTCCCGCCGTGTTACAAGCTCGAAAAATAGACTTTACGCAGAGGCACGTCTTTCCGCTCAGACTGCTCGAAGTAAACAGGCGATCAGCTGAGTTGGAAGACAGACCCCCCCACCACAATTCCCGGCCGGTTTTATCGCTCTGTGGTGGATAGTCGCGTCACAATAAAAACATGCTCATTACTTTCATAATGGACTATGTATATTGTATCCCGAACTGCCTGGCGAGATCCTCCTATCGTCTGTTCCTTGTGGTAACCTGCCGTTTGGGGTTGTGATTTGCACTATCTGTTTCAATTCTTTAGGAACCAAGTTCCTGATCCATACTTCCTAAATTAATTCATGTAGGTCCTTTATTAATAATAATAATAATAATAATAATAGTGCCTTTATTGCAGTAAAAAGAGTTCTTTGGGATACAAAAATATGTAGAGGCGAAGTTCAGCGAATGCTGTTCTTTCACTTAACCTCTAGGTTTAATTACAATAAATAATAAACTTTGCAACGTCAAACATAGATTAGATGTGCTGTACATGTGTGCGAGTCTTTAATGGGGTAGTAAACAATATATAAGAACCATAATGTAGATTGGTCACATTTCAAAAAGTACATACAGATGAAATTTAAAATAAAAAAAATAAAATAAAATAAAATTGGACCCCGGTAAAACGCATTGCTAACAGAGGGTATTATTTTGGTTATCCAGAAGGTATGACTTAAGTTGTTTTTTAAATCTTACTCCGTCTAATTCTCTTAATTTGGCGGGGATATTGTTCCAACTTACCGCGATGTTGTACGAAAAAGATCGTCTTAACATGGAGGTGTTATGTTTGGGGGTTGTTAATAATCCACGAAATCTTAGATTTAGATTATGTGTATAAGTCCTAAAAGTTATTTTGTAATTTAAATACGGAGGGGATTGTGACTTATAGTTATTTATGCATCAAGGGCATTAAGGCGATATTTATGCCGAGGGCGACAGAGCCCGAGGGCCTCCGGCCCGAGGGATTGTAAGTCGCCCGAGGGTTAAATATTGAGTAATGCCTGAGGTGCATACAACATTTTATTTTTCATCATTCCAAAGAATGCATTTCCAATATACAAATGTCATGATTATTGTTTGCCCAACATTAAAGTGCTCCATACGAATCAAGTTACATCTTTTATATGACATAATATAACTCCGTCAATCAATTTGACAGGCCGTTTGAGGGCATAATGAGATGACAATCCAATATGCCCTCTCATTATGCCCTTGGGCGTAATAGACTGCTTCATATATCACATATGACAGACATAATTGACATATAATAGGCAAATGAAAAATAATATATAGACATAAAGAGTGCAAATCACGTCTATTTCTCATGTTAAGCCAATTGGCACTAATAAGTTTATTAGAAATGCTATGAACAGTTCTGGGCACGTCATGTATCAGCCTCAAACAGGAATTTTTGAGACGTTGAATACGTTGTGTGTCCCTCTGGTCTAAACAGGGTCCATATATTACATCACAATAATTGAAGTGCGGTAAGACCAAGGATTCACATAACGTTTTCCTAAGGCTTGAATTGAGAAAGTCCTTATTTTGATAAATTAGGCGTAGGTAATGAAAACCATTTTTAATACATTGATTAACGTGAGATTTAAACCTTAAATGGCTATCAATAACTAAATCTAAGTTTCTGATCTTTTGGCATACTTCCAGATTCCTCTGAACGTTAATCTTTTCATGTGGAAGCGTTTCTTTATAAAAGTATTCACTGCATAGCAACATCACTTTGGACTTTTGCGGGTTTATTTTTAACGAATGTAATTCAACTAAATGCACAAACGATTGTAGATTTCTGTTTATTATATCGCACGCTTGCTTAACGTCACGTGGAGGAAAAGAATAATACATTTGAGTATCGTCTGCGTGCATGCGCAAGTCCTTGATACAGCTTCCAATGCTTGACGTATAAATCGCAAACAAAATAGGTCCTAGAATGGATCCTTGCGGAACACTCTGGTGATATCCACATATTTGGATTTATTATTCTTGTAGACTACGGCCTGTTTACGATTAGTCAAATAACTCTCAATGAGTGAAATTGATTGAAGGAACAAACCACAGTGTTTGAGAATGACCAAAAGCAAAGCGTGGTCAAGAGTGTCAAATGCTTTTGAAAAATCAAGCAGAACTAGGATTGTGGCAAGTTGTTTATCTATTGCTGAGAAAATATCGTCGGTGATTTTAAGTAGCGCAGTGACTGAACTACAACCTGTTCGAAATCCTGATTGGTGTTTAGGCAAAATATTGTGAGTTGTTAAGTAGCTTCTTAATTGTGTATCCATAATACGCTCCATGACCTTAGACAGCACTAGAAGAATCGAAATTGGCCTAAGGTCTTTGTAAGCGGAAGCTGAAATTTTCCAATCAGAGGGAAACTGAGAACTCCTAAAGCCGAAGGTAATTACGTGCGTAAGTATAGGTAATAAGTGCGGTAAACAAAGTGTTACCATGGTGACATTAAGTCCATCATGACCCACACAGTTGGATTTAATTAACATTATCGCCTTAAGGACATCAGACTCTGTGACTGAATGAAAGTTAAACTGTGTATCGGCACCATCGATATTAGAACGTTGCCTATAATAATGGGCGATATAATTCTGACTTACTTGAAACTTAGGAACTGACCGCAAAAAGTAATCATTTATTGCATCAACGTCTTCCAAGTGTTCAGGCAGGGTTAACTTATCTTTGGATATTGTAGTAACACAATTTTTCAGATCTTTGCACACTTGTTTTGTACGTTTCTTACGAGCTCATCGTAGTAATTTTTTTTGACACGCCTACACAATGTGGTAACTTCATTTCGTAGTTGGTTATACTGAATTTTGTTATCAAGAGTTTTATTTTGTTTATAAAGTTTAAAAGCAAAGTCCCGCTGCTGCATGAGGAATTTGACGTTATCGTTTAGGCAAGAAGCCGGTAATTACGTTATAAGGCTCTTTTTAAAGGGTGCGTGCTTATTAAATAAGTCATTGAGAGAGGTATTTAAAAAGTTTACTTTGGCATTGATATCAGCATAGTAGTAAATGTTATTCCATGGAATTGATCTTAAGTCTGAATTAAATTGATCAGTATTTATACCTTTTAAGTTACGATACCTTTTTATTAGCCACCCTAATGCGTATTGTAGCAAATTTTTTTGCCTTTATTTTTTTTTCGACCTGGATCCTATATCCTGTCCTGGCATTGTTCCCTTTTTCAATCTTCCTAGTATCTCCATCATTTCTTCTATAGTGGGTGGCGGTTGTGACCAGTAATCGTTCTCGTCCATTAGCTGGACCTGTGCTTTTTGTTCCTCCTTCAGGAGCTCCTCTCATTCTGTCATTTATCTCATGTTGTTCAAAGGCTCTGTTTTTCTTCGCTCTGGCCCCCTTGTCTCTGACTTTGCTTCATGCTTATGTGGCTTTTGCTCAAACCTCTTCCTGTTCCAAGCGAGTGCCTCTTTCCCCTTTTTGTTTCTGATCTAGTCCTGCTCCTTTCTATACTCCTCCCTTTTCTTTTCTCCTGTCACAAGTTTCACACCCCACCATTCAGTTCACCAGATTTGCTCCCTGTCCTTCCATCCTCTTCCCTTTCTCCCCCTTCCCCTTTCCATGTTGTGGTCCGGTTCTACTGTTCAGGCCCATACTCCTACTGTGTTTGTGATGCTTATTGTCTTTGATTTGACCCTTACCATGTGATCGATATGTGATTCAGAGTTTGCTTTCCTCCATGTTGTCAGCACCGTTTTGGATTTGCTGAATGTGTTTTCCACCCTCAGTCCAGTTCCTCAGTGCTGGTTCTTTCCTTCTTCCTTCTCACTATCCGCCAGTTCCTTGTCGCGCCCATTCCAGTTGTTAGTTTGGTTTCCTGTAGGCTAGCTAGATGTATTCCCTGTTTCCTTAATTCCTCACCAATTCGTTCCTTTTTCTTTGGGTCGTTCGTCCCTTGTACGTTCTACGTTGTTATTTCCGCTCTTCCTCGGCGTGCCACTCCTTCCGGATACCACGCTCAGACTATGTTCGAGGACGGCGGCTCCTCTCGCTCCTTCGTATTCCCCCAGCACCCTTGTTCTCCGTAGTTCCTCTTCTTTTTTTACCTCCTCTATCATGTTTACTGCCCTCACCACGCTGTCGTAGTGGTTCCGGACTTTGTTACTCCCTAGTCTGTATGCTATGTAACATTGGTCCCCGTTATAACTCGCGGTTCTATGACATGTTTCCCCCCTTCGTCTTCGTAAACCACGATCTGACTGTTGTGTGTTGGTCGCTGCCACCAGTAACTCGTATCCTTCCCAGAATGCTTTCTGTGATCCCTGAGGTAAGCTTCTACCTTCTCATTATTGGTATACTGAACATACTACGTTCCCTATCAATCGTCAGTAGATTTCTTTCCGGTTCTCATTGATGTATGTGTTGGTTTCTTCCCTAATCCTTTTGGTTAACCTCCTGTGTGATTCTGATGACACCGGGAATTCCCTAAGTTGGTGCCCAATCGCTCAAAACAGGAAGTCCCCGTTCTTATTTATCCTGACGCAATCTAGGATGTACTCGTTTGTGCGCACTTTTTCGATCATCTTATTTGGCCGCTTTTGCTAGTCGTTTAGGTGGTATTCTGCCGTCTTAATCTTGGTCGGAGATAATGGGCGCTCTCTGAGAGAGATACTTGAACGCAAAGAGAAATAATTGAATTAGTAAATGGGTTAAAATAGTGCCCATGCAGTCTAGCTTGACCACCCTGTATAATATGTAGTAGGAAGGTAGATTTATGGTTTACGGTACCTGTATTTCAATGATTGACATTATTGACAAGTTTATGTTTCCCATTGTGAGGGTCCAACTTTCCGCCCCCTCGAGGTAGGCATATTTGCGGGTGCGTATGAGCGCTACCTTTCGCAATTCCCCTGTTCGTCCAATCAGCCTGCTTAATTGCCCTCCATGACTTGCGCCTCTCTATTCTAGCTTTTCTCCTTTAATTCATTTTAATTTTAGCCTTAATTCTAGGTATTACGTATCAATTCTAGCACTGCCACTTCTTTACACCTTTGTTGACCTGTTGGTTGGAAATTCCTACACTGTCTTGACCTCCTCACAATTTAATTAGATCCCCGCGAGTTTTTTTTGTCTTGAAAAAGAAAACTCCCGCTTGAACTTTGAATATAAGTTTGAATTATACCTGAACCCGCCTCGAGTTTCAAAGTTACAGATTCTTTACTTCAACAGCGCTCACTAAAAAACGCATCTGCACTCGTTGCACCATACATTTACAAATATCCGTGCCCGAACCCGGATTCGAACCAGCAACCCGTACCGCAGTCGCGCTTCCACACCACTGCGCCACATAGGCCGGCATTTATATGAAGATACGCGTGGCATCGTGATGATAAGGACGATTGTAGAGAACAGGGTAATTGAATTATCCTTTACTGGGGGGTACTCCATACCTCCCAGACCCATAGGTGCTGAATTCTCCTCAAAATCCGTCGGCTCACCACTGTCATTACAGTTTTCGTTAATACGAAACCTCAAACCCGGTTGCGAATAACAAAACCTCAACAGAATACGAAGTCACAGGATTAAGACTGCTTTTACATTGGCGATTTTTAAGCGCGCGAAATGCAGCAGCAGCGCGACTAGGCTGCTAGTGTGCGGGCGCCCTTATTTATTTATAGGCGGCGCGTGTCGTTACATTTACGCGCGACATATGTCAACGTCGAAATTTTTGTTAACATGGCAGAATCGCTAAAAAATCTCGCTGGATCGGTTGGTAATTTGATCGCGGAGGCGGGGAAGAATGTAACCGAGTACGTCCAGGAGGGTGTTAAGAGCATTGAGAAGATCACCGCGGAGGGACAAAAGTTGCAGGACGCCATTACGCAGTCCTTGCCAGGATTGCAGCAAGGCTTTCGATCGACCATGGACGAAGCTGAACGATTGATCGAACAAAATCGAACAAAACTCGTGTCCGCAATTGAACGAACCAAAAGCACCGCCCATGCCGCGATTGACGAGGTTGACCCAAGTAAAGCGCAAACGCATTTCCAAAACGCCAAGGACAGCTTGGGTCCACTACTGGCAGAAATTAAAAGCCAAGCTGAAAAAGATGCCGAGAAAATTTCAGCAGATTCAGCTAAGGCGCTCCAGGACCTCAAACAGCTTCTCCACACCGCTATTGACTCGGCAAGGATACTTCAAGTTGCTTCCGAAAAAACCATGGCAGAATGTAGAGAGCGGGTGGATAAGGAAATCGAGAAGCTGAAAACTACGGCGGAAGACGTTGGTAAACGCTACGCAAAGGACTTCTCCGGGTCTATCGACACCGTATCCAAGGAAATGACAAAAGCAGTCGATCAAGCGAAATCAATTAAGGACAACGCAAAGAAGGGAGCTGCCGATGCCAAGGAAGCGCTGGAGAAGGCGGCGGAGGATGCTAAAGGAAAAGCAGGCAAGTCAATTGATGGCTTAAAGACGGAATTGGGAAAGTCAATCGGAAATATAGAGAAGCAGTCGAAGAAGACGGTTGGGGATTTGGCGAAGGACGGCGATAAGGCAGTTACTCAAGCTAAAAAAGCTGCGAAGTAGCGTTTTTCTCGTATGAATTCTGCCTAAATCATTGTGGTCTTTTTATGGGGGCGAGATTTTTGGCGATTTTTTATATGAAATTTGAGAATACACTGTTTGATTAATTTGCTTTTATTTTTCAAACCGCGAAAGATGATTGTAGGGGAAGATTTTTGAATGTTCCCACCCCCCAGACCGCCAGTCATAAATTCCCCCCTAAAACCGTCTGCCTCACCACTCTCACCACAGTTGTCGTTATGACATCGCCTGGTCTGGGGTTTGAAATTTATATGAATATACAGTTGGTCTCATTGAGGTAATGATGATTATAGAGGAAGGGTAATTGAATTTTCCGTTACTGAGGGGTATTCATTGTTAAATTCTCCCCTAAAACCGACTGATCTCACCACTCTTATTACAGGTTTCGTTAAGACGCCGTCGAACGTAGCACCGGAGGCTATGGGGGTGTGGAATTTATATACAGTTGGTCTCATGGTGGAATGACACTAGCACTAGCACAAATCGTATAGGAAATTATTGCACAGTTTCTTGTTTGCGTGATCTGCCTAGAGCTTTAGCTCAAAAATTGCTAGATCAAGGTCCATAAATGAATAATTTCAGGTAGAGGAGTTCCTTTATAAGAAATGGAATTGTTTATTACAATTACAAAACCCGTAAAAGCCGTATTACTCCAGCTAAACCAGGATAAGCCAAATTCCCTTTGACATTAAGCATTCGGAAAACTTTTCAATTCAATGTTAATTTAAAGATTATATGTTTTGCCTTTTCGCTCGCTAAATGCTAGGTGCTTCAGAAACGGTTAACATCATTAAAACTTGCTAGCAAATTGAGCTTATATTAAATTACTCATAACAAGCAACTCAGATAAAATAAATGGAAATTCTAAAGCATGTTTGCAATATAATTAAAAACACATTCAGTAATTTTTCCTCCTCTCGTAATAATAGAATTTTTTTATTAACAAGTTTTATTGCTCTTTTATTGCAGCTTAAAAACACATTTTCACACGTTTTCCACTTTTCACCACATAAGTAAGCTCCTGAAAAATTTTGCTAATTCCATTAGTTCGGCCGTGTAAAAATGGAAGTTAATCTAATTTCGTCTACATCCTCCAGCTTCATGATTATTTTATTCACAAATTTTTAGGGTTAATGGATTTCGGTAACCTAACTCCTGATGTCAGCGACTTTAAATGTTAATACCCAAGTTTGAATGTACTAAGTGCCAGAGATTGTCTGTTGTGTCAGTTTTCCTTTGCATGACATTTACGGTTGAATTTTTTATATCGCGGATTTTCTCTTATTCCAAGATGAAACGCGATTGTGTCAGATACGCCAACGGTGAGTGATTTTCCTAAATTTGTATCGTCTTAATGAACACAGTATGTATGCCGCGTTCCTTTTTTGGTTTCATGAACTTTAATGAACCATGAAACTATAGTAGGATTTTCCCTAGTTTGCGCGCATGTCATTGGTTTATTATGATGTCATCACTAAAGTATGTTTACATAGCGTCATACAGAATACTTTTCTAAGTATAGAATATCATCTTGCGAGTACCCAGTCCACTTCGAATCAAAATGAAATGGTGATTCAAAAACGGCCCAGCATAATCAACATGGACGAGTTAAAAGTTATGCTATGTACGCGTATGTACGTACTTGAGTTTAAACATAGGGAATACGTTTGCTTTTTTTAGCAGCATCTGTAATTAAAAAACAGGCCCGTGCATGTTATTGTTAAATTTTCAAAAAATATCTCTATAAGAGTAAGCAACCGAATTAAAAAAGACGAACTAGTAACCTCGGACAGATAAACAGAGGGACGGCCGGACGGACGGACGGATATAGAAAGTGGCTGCAATAACGTACCCAACTTCGTTGGAAAATTCGTAAACGTGTAATCGGAAATTAATGAAACCTCCTCATCTGTATCTACTAAAATTGTCTCTACTTTTCCCCTATATAATTTTAATAATAAATTCCTCAAAAATTAACGAATCTCCGCTTCCATATTCGTACTTGTCCTCTTTTTATAACAAAGTCCTCAGAAATAAAAAATCTGTCATTCTGTATCCGGAATACTATCCCCACTTTCCCCTACATTTTTAAAAAATAGTCCTAGAAAATTTATAAAATCGGCTCCGGTGTTCGCCAAAGCGACCCATGCTTTTCCCTCACGTTTTATATAACACCTTAATCAAAAATTAACGAATCTTTCGCTCCTGTCTTTGACCTAAATTCTTTGCAACGGAAATTTATGAAACTTCGCGTTTGCATCTACAAAAGCTGTACCCACTTTCCTCGACATTTTTTATAACAAAGTAGTCTGAGGCTGTTGAGGGCCCAAAACAAGAAAGGGGCAATAAATAATAAATAAAACCTCGCCTGAGGCAGACCCTAGTTTTCCTTAAATTGTTTACAATAAAATCCTCAGAAATAAGTTAAACTTTCGCTTCTGTATCCAGTAGGGCTATCCTTATTCTTCATAAACATTTTTTATATTAAAGTTATCGGAAACCAATCAAACCTTCATTCATGTAACCATTTGAGGCCCGTTCTCTAAACACTTTACAATAAACTCCCCAGAAAAAAATGAAACGTCCTCTCCCGTTTCTACTAAAACTGTTCCTACTCTTCCCCCCATTTCTAATAATAAGTCGTCGGACATTTATGAAACTCGTGTATAGATATCAATACCTAAATCTTTCTTTTATAATGAATATACATCAGAAATGTATCCATTCAACCCTTATTTTTGCTCCAAATTCCATACAATGAAATCTTCGTAAATTACTGTTAAAGCTCCCTCTCCAGTTCTACTAAAGAAGTTCCTAGTTTTCTTATAATAAAGACTTATGAAGTGTATAAAATCTTCCTGTAACCACAAAATCTATCACAATTTTTACCCTACATTTTTTACCAAGAAAAAAGCTGCCATACTCATAATCGAAAATTAATGAAATCTTCGCTCCTGTATTCACTAAAACTATTCGTACTTATTTCCTAAATTCTGTATAACAGTCCTCGGAAGTAATGAAACTTTCGATTCTGTATCCAGCAAAACTATCCCTACTTTTCCCATAAACACTTTATTCAAAGGTCCTTTCGTGAAACATCCGCTCTTGTATCTACTAAAGCTGGTATTTCTTTTCTTTTAAATTTTAGTTCCTGAGAAACTATTGAAACTTTCACTTCTCAATCTGCTATAATGTCCCTATCCCTACATTTCCAGAAAAGAAGGTATCCCCTTCTGTACACACTATAAAGCTATCCCTGCTTTTACCTTAAATTTGTTATAATGAAAATCTTCTATTAATAAACCTATTTTGTATTTACTGAAACGGTTTACATGTCCCCTACATTTTTTGCGCATTTCCAAAAAAATCAAATTCGGTATTGTGGCCACTTTGTTCGTCCCTACGGCTGTAACCTACCCTCCCCTACATTTTTTTATCACACAATAATTGAAACTTCCGCTCCTGTGAAACTTTGCCTAAAATTTTTTATAATAAAATCCTAGGAAATAAGGAAAACTTCTGCTTCTGTATCCCCTATACTGATGGTTATGCTTATTTTTCCCATACATTCTTAATAATGAGGTCAGAACCTATTGAGACTCTGTTCATGTATCCCGTTATGCTACTCTTACTTTCCCCCTTTTAAATAAAGTTCCCAGAAACGAATGAAACTTCCGCCCCTGTTTCTACTGAAGCTATTCCCCTAAATTCTTTACAATAAAGTCCTCGGGAATTAGTGAACGTTCACTCTTCTGCCCACTAAAGCTAACCCTAATTTATTACCAATTTGCAATTTCCGAAGATTTTCGAACTGTGGCATGAGTACAGGCTTCCGACTGCCGACTTTCGGAAATTTCAATCTCATAAGTTGAATTCGGCACCTGAAGGAAGTGGCATTTTCCATTATTTAGAGAGATTCCACTTTTTTTCACATTATCTGATCCTTAATAGCAGGCCATTAGTTGCACCATGCCTGAATTGAATTGTCCTAATAAGGTCCTCAGAAATTAATAAAATATAATACTCAAGAATTAATAAAGTTCCACTCCTGTACACTTTTTCACAATTTTTTTCAAAATGAAATCCTCTGATATTAAGGAAAATAAATCCTGTATTTGGCAAACCTTTCTCCTACATTTTTCATAATCAGGAATTAATCAAAATTTTCGTTGATCCAATTTTGGAGCTATAGTAACTCCAAGTCAGGGTAGAATCCAAAGCAATTCGTACTTTTTCGATCAGACTTCTCAAAAGTTATAGACTAGAAACCAATTTCGAAATAAAATTCAAAGGGCTGTAACTTTTGAACTAGTAGCCCAATCTTGGAACTGTTTGAAATTATGGATTCTACAGGCCACATTCTATAAGAAAATTTTTTTCCGGGTCGATCTGAGACAATTTTTTTTTCGCGCCTCAAAAAAAGGCAGTGTATTACCTTCCTTTTTGCCAAAAATCGACTGCACCAAAATTTCTCGGGAAAACACTTTTTCTTATTAATTTTGGTGCGTAGAATCCAAAACAATTCGTACTTTTTCGATCAGACTTCTCAATCAAAAGTTATAGACTAGAAACCAATTTCGAAATAAAATTCAAAGGGCCGTAACTTTTGAACTAGTAGCCCAATCTTGGAACTGTTTGAAATTATGAATTCTAGCGGCCACATTCTATAAGAAAATTTTTTTTCCGGGTCGATCTGAGACAATTTTTTTTTCGGGCCTCAAAAAAAGGCTTCCTTTTTTACCAAAAATCGACTGCACCAAAATTTCTCGAGAAAACACTTTTTCTTATTAATTTTGGTGCGTAGAATCCAGGCTCCAAGTCAAGAATAAACGGTGAAACAGTGAAAATCAATTTGAGTAAGAGTGGCACCTACTGATGGGCAAGAAGTTTATAAATGCTACCTTTCCCATTTTTGGCTAAAAATCAATTAAGTTTTGAACCCAACTATACTTAGGACGCATAGTTTACAAAATTTGTGAATACATTTTGCTTTTAACTGGCGACTATAGATAAAAGCGTCTGCGCCAAATTAACCTCTATCAAAGAACACTTATCCTCTGCGTCATCACCTATCCTTCCAGCTCACGATTACCGATTGCCATTTGTGCGCGATAGTTTAAACAGTTTGTTAGTGCAGTGAAGTGTATCGTGTTTTTCCAATGGTAATGGACCATGGATCACCCCTTGGGGAGAATGAATTAATTAAAGTTAAGGGTGAGTCACTTTATTTGTATAAAAGTAAACGTAAAAGTCAACGTAATCAAATGCTCCTACCACAAAGGGTAGCATACTTTCTTATGGGAAGTCCAAGGATATTCCGATTACGTAAACAAAAATTCAAAAAAGCGTTTCCCATTAATGTAGTAGATTTAACTTTTTGAGTCGGTGTTTTTGGTCAACAATGGCAAAAAATTAACATTTTCCAAACTGAATTGGGGCCACACATAGAGTGACGTCACTTCATGTCCAAAAAAAGTAATTATGGATCATACAAGCAAACCAAGATTCATCGTAATTATAACGTTGCTCTTAATATTATCCAAATATTACATTAGAAATAGAAACTCAATTGTTACCTGCCGCATCTGTTTAGAGATAACGCGCCACGTCATCAAACACGTGCGGCCGTTGACAATCAAAGGTAAAGTTAATTACGCTCTACAAAGGTCTAAATTTTAGAGTTAATTATTCGTTTTTGTACATAAATGCGGTATATTAGGGCAGTAAAAAACTGCGACAAATAGGAAAAATCCATTGCGTTATGCGTACAACTTCAATCGCCAAAAGGTGCAAATTAACTTCCAACTTAGAGATTTAATTTATTTCTTTGTACGCATTTCAATTTCAAAAACGTAAAAGGTTAGTAAAAAAGAGTCGGCGTAAAGGAAGCTTGTTTTGTTGGATTTTTAAAGTAGCAAGAATATAACTACCCAAAATGAATTCAAACCTTTTACTGGACAATTCCAAATGTTAAAAATATGTAATTTGTAACAAACTGTCTACCCCTCCATCTACCCAAACTTTCACCAAACTCCCTACAGGCAATTGCCCTTCATGTAATGTAACACATAAGTATGTAAAACAAAATTGGGTGGTAGAGGGGATCAAAACAAAAACTTTTTCCAAGTAACCGAGGGTCCAGCGTGTATCGTTTCGAGGCCACCCTCAAAAAAGTGCTGAAATTTGCATTGCATCTTTAATTTTGTTATCAGCACATCTTTGAATAGGTTTTGGGGTGTGCTATTTCCGATTTTGCAAAGGCTTTTGGTTTGTAAATTTTAGAAAACTGTTTGACAATTCGTTCCATTGTGTCCATTTTCGTAGCCCGGCCACAAATTTTCGAATTTTCAATAACTAATTTCAGATTCGCGATGTTCAAAAACCCCCAGATACCAAATTTAATCGAAATCAGAATTTTTTCCTACCCCCTTTAGTAGTGCAACCGTTCATGGTAGGAATTAAAAAAAAATATTTCGCAAAATCGGAAAGGGCATACCCCAAAACCAACTCAAAGACGTGTCACAAGTCTTTGAAACCCTTATGGTTGCTGGGAGAAAAATTAAAGAAGAGATGCAAGTTCGTCCCTTTTTGAGGGTGGTTCTCAATCGAAACAAGTTGGACCCTTGGTTTATATGGAAAAAGTGTTTGTTTTGATCCCCTCTACCACCCCATTTTTTTACAAACTCGTACTTGTATATAACACCCTCTATATTTCTCCGAATACTACAGAAACTTTCGCTCTTGTATAAGCTGAAGCTATCCCTTGCGTGTCACTTATATTCTTTATAATAAGTTATTATCCCTAATTTTCCCTTAAATTCTTCTTCTTTCAATGGTCTTCAGAAATTAATAAATCTTCTTCTTCCCTACTTTTGCGCTACGTATTTCATAATTTTGCTGTATCCAGCACAGATACCACCCGCAGATCTGCACATGCGCGATTCTGCGCTTTTATCTCTAAGAATATGTGTACTAAATTTGGTTCCAGTGGGTTCAGCCGTTTAGTCGAAAATCAGGGCACAGACAGACATACCGACAGACCGATCGACATTATCGAGATTTTGTCGTTGATTCGGATTTCTGGTCTGGTCAAGACTTATCGTATTTCAAAAAAGGGGGGGGGCATTTTTTACAATCCTAATACCTCCCTTACTAACATGCGGGCGGTAAAAAATGAAAGATTACGGATAAACGACTCATTTTAGATACCTTGTGTAATAACAGTCGAAATATGTAACAATATACAAGGGGTTCTATTTAAAAAGAACGGAACATTGATATAAATTACCCGGTGTAACAATTGCAATTTCCAAAATATTTTTTTAGTTCAGCTATACTATGCCAAAAAACGGCAAATAGAAAAATAATTCGTGTAGTTCCAAATTTTTTGGTTTGTATGGTTTAAGGTCCCCTGATGATTGTGCAACAAAGTCCCGAACGATTTCGGTGCCGCCGGTGGGAGGGGTGAGGACTGAGGGTACAGTTTTGCGATTTTTCCGTCATATCTCCAAAATGGTGGGCGGTAGGGGAAAAAAGATTTCTAGAATTTTGTTTCTATATATTTCTTCCAATAAAAACCCATTGTTTTCTACCTACGAGCTCTTGAATGTGAGTAATTAAAAAAAAACACGTTTTCAGTCGAACGTTTGCTCCAGTTCATGTTCACTTTTAACCTCGCTTTTAACGTACAAGTGGATGATTGTATAAAATTAAATTTCCCTCATGAATAATTGATAATTAGCTCCCTTGGCAATTGGCACAGGTAATGGTGCAAAAGACGCCAGCCATCTTGCATCCACACCTAGCTCCACAATTGGTAGTATCTCAACGGCAAAAATGCCTTGTAAAGTATCCAAGTTCAGCAGTGGCTGGAAAACTCACTCCCTTCAGAAAAAAGTGACGATGGCCATCATCCCCAGTAAGGAACACAGCTATTTTGCACCATTGCTTTGCAAACTGCCAAGAGAGCTGTTTTAACTCTAAAGAGGACGTAGACGATCCTCATAGAGAGGAATTCTGCGTACATTTCAATTGGACGTTATGAAAAAATTCCTTGGTCATTACAATTAGGAACATTTTAGGTCAATATTGCAGTTCACAATTAAAAATTTATCAAAGGGATGAACAGACCGAGGGTTGGATATGTGGAGATATTTTTCGTACAGGAGCCGTCTCCGTAATGTATCTTGTAAAAAAAGATCAGGTTATTTGAGAATGCCACAGTGAAGTAAAATTTGAGTAAAGGTGATACTGATGGGAAGGAGTCCATAAAATTCCACCTCTCGCATTTGGCAAAATACGCCAAAAATCTAAATTGAATAGTTTTGAACCCGAATGTACTTTTACAACGCTTAGTTAACAGGTGCATACAAAATTTGCGAATAAATTTTGCCTTTCCCTGTCGGCTAGAGATAAGGCGGTTGCGTCGGCGCGAATTTGACCTCCGTTACTTTATCATTTCCTCTGCCTCACAATTTTCAAATTGCATTTGTTCGCGATAGTTTGAATCGTTTCGTAGTGCAGTGGAGTGTATCGTGTTTTTTCCAATGGTGATAGACAATGGATCATCCCTTGGAGAGAATTAATTAATTAAGGCTACGGGGTGAGTTATTTTGTTTGTACAATTCAAAAGCCAACGTAATCAAATGCACCCACCACAAGGGGTAGCATATCTCCCGAGATATCTTCTTATGGGTAGAGGCCAAAAGTATTCATATATTACGTAAACGAAAATTAAAAAAAAACATTTTCTATTTATTTAGTAGATTTAACTTTTTTAGTGGGTTTTTGATTAATCATGTCAAAAAATTAGCATCTTCAATTGAATTGCGGCCGCGTCACTTCATGTCCCAGAAAGTAATTATTGATCATACAAACAAACCAGGATCAATAGTAATTATAACGTTGCTTCTCTACTTCTTCTTAATATTATCCGAATATGAAATCAGAAATAGAAACTCAATTGTTACCTGCCGCATCTGTACAGAGATAACGCGCCACGTCATCAAACACGTGTGGCCGTTGGAGTGAAGTTCTGAAAACAAATGGAATGCGTATTTATTATGACAATCAAAAGTAAAACGAATTTCTTTCGAGAACAGTCCAAAAATTTTTGAGGTAATTACTCGTTCTTGTACATAAATGCGGTGTATTAGGGCATTGAAAACCTGCGGCAAACAGGCAAAAATTCCATTCCGTTATGCGTATATACAATTTCTATCGCTAAAAGGTGGAAATTAACTTGCAACTTAGAAATTTAATTGATTTCTTTGTACGCATTTCAATACCAAAAACGTACAAAAGTAGTGAAAAGGAGTCGGCATAAAGAAAACTTATTTTCTTCACTCTTCAATATTTCAAGCGGCAAAAGTATACTAACAATAAAATGAATTCAAAGGTACAGCACGCATGTGAAACTGGCCGGCTGATATTTTCAGTTGGACGGTTCCCAAAATTTGAGGCCATTTACCAAACAGCAAACTCATATCTTATAGCAGTTTTGAATATAATGAGTGATTTAATAAATACGTCAGAATAAGAAGAAATAGTACACGAACAACCAAAATGTACATTGTACAATCTTTCATTCTCAAGCTAAATATTCACTGGAAAGCGTTACTTCAAGATAATTCCATTTTTCTGTAACTACTTTAGAAACAACTACTTTCTTCTTTAAAAAGGGTAAAGAAAATGTGATTTTCCTCCCTAATAGGAGGAAAGTAAAAAAAATTACTGCGTTAATCTTAATAATGACATTTGAAATTGAAACATACTCGTATCTAGCTTGCTAACGCTATACTTCATTATTGCATACGATAATTTAATATAAAAATATGTGTAAAACTTGAGAAGAATAGTTATTTACCTAACAAGTTCGGTAAGTTAATTTTCCCGCATGAGCACTTTGTTTGCAGCACGACCGTAGGGAGTGCTGCATTTAGTGCGAATGCGGGAAAATTCTTTCCGAAAGAGTTAGGTACAATATTTTTTGTAACGAATTGCGTAAAAAAAGGTCAAAATTAATAAAGATTTGTAAATTAGTTTTTTTTTAATCATGAGTTGGTAACACAATCATATGTTTGGTTGGTAACATAATTTTGTAACTACCATTGCACTGGTCACATTTAAAACTTCCACATCTTTGGTTAATACATATTTTGCCTTTGCAATGAGTGCTACTACTGGTCACGGCATTGCATCGTTTGCACTAAATA